AGGAATGCCTCCCAAAGTCCTCCGCTGACAACCCTACCATGTTCAGAGGCAGTCAACCTCTGAATCACACTGCCAGGAGTCAATATCAGGGGAAGGTCTGGGCCTCTATGCCCTGTTGTTAGACCTCTAGAGGAACTGGTTGGCCTCTGTGTGAGACAGGATGCTGGACAAGATGGACCATTGGTCTGATCCAGCAGGGCCCTTCTTAACCTATAGACACTACGTGGAGAAGGACGAAAGTATCTTTGCTTTCAGCCTTAAGGACAGAATGAATGGAGTCAGAAAGGATGTGGAAAGATTGGATTTAGAGCAAGCTTTAAACAAAAAGAGAGGACAAAACTGAGTAGAGAGATGGTAGAAAGGGACAAAGGAGACTTGAAGAAGTGCAAAAAGAAAATAGACTAGGTTCAGGTTTATATTTTGCGATAATTTCCAGATTTTACATTACCTCACTTCTTCCATTTCTCATGCCCAAACGTACATAATTCCTGTGCTACGGCTAGGCAATTAAATTCCTGTTTCTGCATGTGATTTGTTTTCAGTAGTAATTTACAGCTCTTGGGCTTGTTTCAGACGTAATGTCTGTTTGTGTGCTATGTGAACAGGTTTGCATAAGTGAGTTCAAGGCTCTTTCCAGTCCTTCCTGCCATCACACATTCAGGAGTTAATGGCGGGGGAAGAGCATTGGCAAACCATAGTTTGGCATTACATCCAACCCAGTGAGCATAGTTTGTCCTTGCACTGCAAACCAGGCTTACAAACTGGGAACAAACCGTAGTTTGCAGTCCTGGTTTGTGCTTGCTCCGCAAACCCAGGAAATAAATACTAGCTTGTGGCACGCAAAGGGAGTAGGGGTTGTACACCCAAGTCTAAAACTCCTAGGATCATTCATATGGTGCCACACTATAGCTGGTATGAACCAAGTCAACATTTTAAGAGCCAGCCAAGAGCTCCAGCCTTACACTGCACAGTTCCCCCTAGGCAGTCTGAAAGCAAAGGCTTTCTGTGTGATGCAGCTGGGATCTCTCCTCACAACACACAATAGGGTGTGGTTCTTTCTAAAGATGTTATCCTACATTGCACAGTATCGATAACAATGAGCCCAAGTGGTATAAATGCAGACTTTCATTTGGATTCATGCTGTGTTTGCCCACACTTGTAATGTTTTTCATGATATTTAATAGATCAGTTGAAACATATACATAATACACAAGAGGCTTCAAGAGGTGAACAAGATAAGAGCATGGAACCTGCATGGAACTTTGACGTGTTCTCTGGACCCACACACTAATTAGAATTTTGAGATTTCTTCCTTTCATTATATAAAGTTCCATGCCTCATGACTGCAAAGAGATTTGTCTCAAGTAGTGGTAAAAGAGTTATATGATGAAAAACAAAGAAACCGGTAAAAAAAAAGCATCTCCGGTTCACTGCATTTACTTTTTGTGATTTCTAATGCTATACGCTGAGATTTTTTTCAAAGGCTGAGTCAAGTTTTTCACATTTGAGGGCAACTATTTCAGAATAGGAATAATGCCTGCTAATAATTTATAGTAGCTTGGCTTGACAAGGCTAACAAAAAAAGCTATGCCAATTATGTTAATCACATGCCATTAAATATGCAAATTGGCAATGGCCCTCTGGCTTATAATGTATTTCAAATGTGGTCCTCAGCACTGATCAAATTTTCTACTCCTGCCTTAACAAAGAAAAGGCCAGGCACTGCAATAGCACTTTCTTCACTTGATTTCATATAATGACTAATAGCTACATATAAAACCATGGCATTTGTGGAACAACTGGATTGCTATTCTTGTTAATTAAAATACAAAAATGTTACGCCATCAGAGGTAGATCGTTACTAGCGAACAGTCTTTATATGTACATGTTCAATCTGCCTGAAGCTGTATTTGCTGCTGTAGCCATCAGCCTTTCTTCACATTTTGCCAGCTGAACAGTGCATGTGATAAGTCTTCTCTTCCAAAGGGCTACTTTGTCAGTATGGAAGACGTAACAAGAGTCAGGATTTCATACCAACTAAAGCTTTCTTTACTTAGCCACTGAGCACCTCCAAGCAGCTGACTAGAAAAGGACTTTGCAGTGAATAGCACTTTTGCACTCTTACCAGATGGGAAGGCCTTTTCGTATGCAGCATCACTTTGGTACCCCTTTGCAGCAGGAATGAAGACAAAATAGAGGATGGTGTACAGAGGGGACCTAGACTGCGGGTGAGATTTCTCACTGCCAACCAGAAGTTCAGTGCATTCAAACCCAGATGAACACTGTAGATGTGAAAGAGCAGCCCTGTCTAAGACTTGAGGGTCAGGATCTGTTTGTAGGGAATGGTGGGTAGGTGGGGAACGTGATGGAGGCTGCGCCGAAGAAAATCATATAAGCTGCAGACCTAGGAGCTCCTGTTTGTTGGGGCAGGCAGAAACGGAGGGCATCTACTTTCAAATATCACAGGGCTTGAAAGAAAAGCTTTGCAGATTTGGCACTGGCTCCCTGTGCTGTAACAGCCACTGACCCTCCAGGCCACTGCAACCCATCCTGTGCTACTGGCATTTATAGAAATTCTGGCCTGGTCTACACATGCAGCAGAATGAGCTGGTAGAGGTGTACCTGCAGTCTGAACTGAGACTGTATTCTCATCCCATTGCATCTGCAGACCAGGCCTCTTGTCTTCCCTCAGTTTAGACAAAACTGTTGTTGAGAGAGGCCTCTCAGTCTTCCCTCTGTGCCAGATTACAGGCCTTCAGCCAGTCTTTCTCCAGCCTGCCTGCTTCCAAGGTACTCCCACAGCACCTGGGTCTGATCGTTTGACATGCACAGATAATACATTCACAATTCCTTGAAAGTACAGAATATGCTGTTTTAAGGCAAGGTATTAGACTAGGTTGCATGCTGTATTCTCACCTTTCTGATTTTAGGACTTGTCTGAAGCTAGGCCAGATACTGACTATTCTAACTAGGGCTCCAACAAACATATACAGAGAATAGCTAGAAGGGAACAGGTGCTGGATAGGACTACCATGAACAACTGGGAAGTAAGGCAAAATTTCACAGACCTGGAGCATCTTCTATGTCCTCTCCTGTGCCATTACAATACATGGCATGTCGCTCAATTTCCAAAACTGGGAATCTGCGATCACACAATGGACATGAGACAGCACCATCAGCTGGAAGGCTGGGTGCAGACACACTCTTCCCAGCATCTTCATCTGCGTCAGCCTGAGGACCGGGGCAGGGTAAGATATAAGTCAAGTTAGTCTTCTTGCAAGGTTAATTCTTCATGATCAACCCCGCTCCCCTTGACCTTCTACGGTTTCTGACCCTCCCTGGGCCATCGATGCTTCACTTCTAGCAGCACTTTCTATTCCCACTGATCAGATCAGACATAGGAGCTACACACTGATAAGCAAGCACTACAGCACTGATATCTACTGCTTATTTCAAAGGCAGCCTGTCCTCCCAATATCACCATGGGGCACCCCTGGAGACCCATGTGTTCTATTTAAGGCCAGGATTCCCTGTGCTCTGGGGAAAGCGTAAAACATCTTCAATGGAGAAAGTGAGAGTGCCAGCAAGCAAAAAACAAGTGAAACTGGCACAGAACTCAAGCACCCAGTCCAGGCCTGGCAGCCCTACCTGCAGAGAAGGCTCTCCTAGGAAGTAAAATGAGATCACTCTCCTCACCACCATGGCTAGCTTGAAGTGATGGGAAGGTTTTGCCTAGTGGCACGGTCTGCACTGTAGCCAGTTGTGGGGTGTACATGCACTTGTATATGGTGGTCTGCGCTAGTCCGAACATTAATTTTGGTATTCCCTTTGGCCAAATGACAGCCACTGATGTCATGTTTACCAGACCCAAAGGTTATATTATCACGCTGAGAAAATTAGTGAAATGTTCATGTGACACAACTAGCACCCTGATTGCACTTCCAAACAACTTAGTGGTTCCTGATTGACAGGTTCCTCTGGGAATCCTGTGGCTCCCCCTTGCATTTTTTCTCCTTTCCTGATTTCCATTTTCCTATTTGAATACAGCCAAAATGCATCTATAAAGCCCCTTGGCTCTGAAAAGGGAAGTTATACCTGCATCCCGCAGCCTTCTTATTTTTAACCCTTTCGAAGAGGGCATATTTTTGGTACTGCAAAGCCAGCAACCCAAAAGCACAACCTGTTTAAAATCCAGACTGACAACTGCTGTGTGAACACAGGAGGCTGCCTTATGCTGAGATCAGACTACCAGGGTCAGTATTGTCTATTCTGACCGGTAGTGGCTTTCCACTGTCTCAGGCAGAGAGGTCTTTCACAGCTCCTCCAACTAGGTTCTTTTGTTGGGACTTCAGGCTAGGACCTTCTGCACCCAAAGCAGACGCTGTACCACTGAGCCACGGCCTCTCCATTTGGTTCTTTGACAGACTGCGTTGCAGATGGACTGATAGCTTCAAAGAATTTTGTTAACTAAGCTCCCCTGCTCTGACACTTCCAGCCAAGTTAGAATTCAGCCAACTGAACATACTAGTTGTATGTTTATTTTTCTTAAATGCCTGATGTTATAGTCTATTTTCCCTGAATAAACCTTCAAAATTGCCTGCCATGCTTCAAGTTGTTCAAAAACTCTAGCTGCCAACAAGCAATATTACTTCTTGGTTGTCCTCATGCCCTGCTTGTGGGCTTCCTGAGTGCATCAGGCTGGCTGCTGCTGGAACCAGGATGCTGGAATGGATGGACCGTTCAGCCTGCTCCTTTTCCATTTTCTCCAAAACCCATCAAGTTCAGCACTCTGTAACTGACCCACACACTTGACTTAAACAGACTTAAATAGCCAGCCCTGTTGCTTGTCCCTAGCAGCTGGTAGTCTGGATTTGCTCTGTTCTGCTTTAAATTCAGAGGTTACTGTTTAGCCTTCGATAGACCTATTCACCATGGACATGTCCAAGCGCAAGTGAAAAGTAAGAAAGTAGGAGCAGGGGTTTCATGTCCATTCCAGGTAGCCCTGGCTTTGTTAAGACACATCTATCTCTCTAGCTGAGTACCACACTTGTATCCCTCTGGGACGCTCAGGGTGGGATAGAAAAGGGGCTCTCTCATTTTATCCCCACAACAGGCCTGTGAAGGAGTTAAGCAGAGAAACAGTCAGTTGTCCAAGGTGAGCTGGATGGCGAAGATTTAGACCCAAACCTCCCTAGTCTGAGTGCAACACATTTCACCACACCACAATGACTTTCCAGCGACAAATGCACAGCTCAGCTAAAGCAAATGCATTGGCTATACCCCCCCCCCCAAAATAGGGGTGTTTGGCATATTTGAGTGATTTTTTTTCTCTTCAGTGTTAAATGTCACCTCAAGGCTTACTTGAGGTTTACTGCAATGCTCTCTGCATGGGGCTGCCCTTGGGGCAACTCCGGAAGCTGCAGCTGGTGCAGAATGCCGCGGTCAGGTTGCTGATGGGTCTCCCCATGAGGGAACACATCCAACCTGTGCTGAGGTTGCTGCACTGGCTGCCAATAGCGTTCTGGGTACGCTTCAAGGTGCTGGTTTTGACCTTTAAAGCCCTGAATGGTCTGGGGCCTGTCTACCTGAGGGACCACCTTTCCCCGTATGTTCCCCCAAGGGCACTGAGATCCGAGACACAAAATCGCTTGGTCCCCCCTGGCCCTAGGGACGCTAAGCTAACATCAACAAGAACTAGGGCGTTTTCCCTAGCTACACTGGCGCTATGGAATCAGCTCCCAAACGAAATTCGAGCTCTGCAGGATCTTCAACAATTCCGTAGAGCGGTAAAGACCGAGCTGTTCCGGCAAGCATTTTAACAGTTCTGGCCACACTGACCGTTCCACATAACTACTAGCACTTTATAACAGATGGCCTCCACATTCTAATTTTAATAAGCTGTATTTTGATATTGTATTGTATTGTTTTAGACCTGATATTTTTATTCATTGTATACTGGTTTTTAACTACTGTAATCCGCCCTGACCTGCCTAGGCGGGAGGGCGGGGTAAAAGTCCAACAAACAAACAAATACATAAATAAAGGCTTGGTTTGGAGAAGAACGTTGGTTCAGCTAGATGAGCCCTCGTTCTGTAGCAGGGATGTATGATGAAAGAAAACACATCAGAGTTCTTTCTTGGCTTTTTTGTGGGATAAAAAGTTAAGCACTGTTATCTGCGTGTCATTAAGCTCACCCATTTTTTTTTAATCTTCAACAGAGCCTCGTCGACACAGTGTGTTTCTCCCTCTGAAATGCAGAGCCTCTGCCTTAAACTATTCATGGCTGTAAGAGGCAGAAGGCCAGCTACTGCTGTCTCATTCTTAATACTGGAAGCCTTCTGCATAATGTCAGTCTACCCAAAAAACAACAAAAAAGGGTTCCTAAACCTTTAAAGCAAAGAAGGTTTGCCAGAACCATTAAAATGTCTGTTTAAATATTGAACTAGCTAGATGGAACCTGTGGGAAATAATTCAGGATAGGTGGTTTTTATCGGGGTGAGCCATGCAGGCTCTCTCTCTCTCTCACACACACACAATACACAAATAGAGGGAAATTGTCATCTCTGTCCTTATAACTGCACAGTTCCAAGGAAACCAGAGAGAGCCCGACTGCTTAGGCTTGCTTCATTTTTTATTTTATGAGTGGTCTCCATTATGTAGGCCTGTTGCTTAGCAGCTTCATTACAGAATCTACATTGTCAAGCAAAAGCCCAATTCTATGTGAGGAATTTCATTGACTGATTGAGGATTGCTTGTATGCGTGGGGGTGTGTTGGATTGGTCCCTTTAAAAAAAAAAAAAAAAACACACTCAAATGTGCCAAACACCCTGCTGACAGGTGATCAGTACTGAGCTGCAGGAACCGTCAACAATTCCGCAGTCAAATCCTACACAAAATCCTTTCCTAAAAGAGAGCAGACTCCAAAGCGTAAGTCTTGGACTGAGAGTTCCACAGTCGTTCATCTATGCTGCAGCTACTACAAGACCACCACATCTTCCCAGGCGTTTCACATCTCGGCATTGCTACATCTCATTAAGTGCCATTATGCGGCAGTGTGTCATGAAGACATGCCAAGCACAGAACGAAACATGCCAAAGATGAAGAGTTCCGATCGGATTGGTGTTACCCTAATAAGATGACACGTACACAGATGTGAAGAACTCTCTGCTCCTTCCCGTTTCCACTTCCTGCACAGCCGAGCAAATCACATCTTTTGCAAATACCAGGTGCCCAAATAAACGGCTTACACTCCCACAGTAAATAACTCATTGTAAATGTAAATGCAGCATTGTGTAGCAACCCTTGTCAGCCCCCTCCTCTCCGAATGACTTTTGACAAGCCCTGGGAGAACGGCTAAGAGAAGCCTTCCCCGCATGACTGACTGCCCACCCAGCAAAGGGGAAAGCGGCACCAGCCCATGCTGTGTGCAAGAAGAGATGGCCTGAGCAGCCCGAGGCCTCCTTCACTCCAACGGGGTTCATGCCTGCAGGTCAGCAGAGGCTGCATTTGTGTGGGCAGTGTTCGCTGTAGAGGAAATCAGGCTGGCTGCGACAAGGCTCACCTCCCATTAACTCCTCAGCCGTATGACACAAGGTGCTTTTGAGCTTCGTCTGGAGGGCTGAGGTTCAAGCCCATGAGCCAAATCATTAGAGCCTTGCAGGGCTAAAACTAGACGGTGAGCATGAGAAAGCTAAAGGGCTACTGCCCTCTTCAGAGGGACTGTCATTCTGACCACCCACTGCATGCCCACCAGGGAAATGGCTTGAAGAGGAAGCCCATGCTCGGGAGCCATTCACCCAGTGCAGGAGCCAACTGGGTCCCTTGTGCTTCTATAAACCATGTGCAAAACATATCACTGACTGCGAGGGCACAGCAGCTGGGTGGCTGCACTGTCCCACTGGCCACAACACCTAACAAACTGATGGCACGCTGCCTGAAAAAACAGAGCTATGGGAAGTGCCAGTATTAGAATGGGGCAGTATTAGGACACCACTGCCTACGTGAGGCTCCTCCTACTCCCATCCAGCAGGGGCTGAAGACTTGTTTTTTACAAATGAATTCTCTTGTTAAGAGCTCTCCAATTCTCCTGTATTCATGTACCCTGCCAGAAAAGCTCTTGGAAATCCCTTTGATATCTCCCTTCTTAAAACGGCAACCTAAATAGACTTTTCTCCACAGAAGCAGCAACTGAAGTCAGCTGCCATTGTTCTGACAGCTGCATGGTGACTGTTGCACAGGTGTAGTGAGATAGGAGAGACAATCGCATTGGTGAGGAGGCAAGCAAGAGAGGCCTCTCTTGGGATTTATCTGTCAGACATCCAAGGCTGACCGGCTCTCTGGTAAAGCAAGATGGAAACTTTGGGACAAGTTAAGAGCCAGAGGGCCCACAAAAGCATGGCACACGTTCCACAAGGAAGCAACCTCTAGGCTACTGCCCAGACATCTCACATGCTGCCTGTACCCTTGTTGCAGAAGGACACAATGGCCTCAGCCCCGGAGAGCAGTAAAGGGCCAACAGCGAAAGTCTAATTGCATGCCAAGCCACAGTTTTACCAACATGCTTGTAAGCTCTTTGTTCATGCAGTCATTTGAGCGGGGGGGGGGGGGGGGGGGGGGAGGCCAACAAGTGACTGATGCCCTTTCCTTAGCAGGGCCCAGAAGCATCCTTTCGCATATCACACAACCCAAGTGGCAGGTGTTGCAAGCAAGACGACAAATGTGAGAAAGTCAACAGCACTCTTCTTTAGCTAGTGAAAGTGCTGGGTTTGCAGTCCCTGGTCACAGAAATGGTAGAACTGAAATTACTGGGAGGAGCTGCATACAAAGAGTGGGAGAATAACAGGAGACCCAATGCAAACACACCCGCAGTCTCCCACACAAAACGTTTCCTAGCAGGCTGCACAGTTTGCATAGCAGCTCATTTTGGAAGACGGGTAGGAAACGAGACTCTGCATTCCAGACGCTTCACTGGCTGTTATCCCTTAGGGACTTGCTTACCTGCAGAGAGACATCTTTGCTGGATGAATGGATTTCTCTGCTCTCGGGCTCAATAGCTTGCGATGGACTCGGCTGGGTCTCTGCAACAGAAGCCTCCCATGTTAACAACTGCTTGCCCCCTTCCCCCTTCTCTACAAGCCCTCCCCCTTGCCGTCCCCCCCAGCATATTCCACACTAGCTGATAAAACTTATCCCATTTGCTTTACAGTGTCTTCACAGTTTCTAAACATTTTTTAGACTTGTCACAAATGTTAGCAGACAATGTGCAACAACACAGCTAGAGTAGACATTTAAAGCTATAGTGCATCAGTGTGTGGATTAAACCACTGCTGCTCCATAGCTCAATGGGGAGCAGGAATCAATAGGTGTGCAGATGGTATACTAGGTTAGGTGCTTGCTGGTGACCGGCACAATGCAACAGCAAAGCTTTCCAACTTTGGAAAAAGACAACAAACCCTCTTAGTTTTTTTATACAGCTTTCTCACTCTTTGTATTTCATTTTTTAATACCCTTAGACCACCCCCACCCTGCAGCTATTACCAACAATGAAAACCTCATCCAGTCTCCTGCAGGGAACCTCTCAATTAAACCTGTTCCTGCACCAGATGTGACACTGAAAAAAGCTTGTTTTAGAAAAAAAAATAATTTCAAAACCAGATTGTGTCTCAAAGAGAACAATTTAACCTTGAACAATTTTCTTGCTTACTGAATATAAGAAAACTCCTTTCCCCTAGCAGAGTTCTGAAAATGTATGTTGAAGGCAGAGAGATTTGTAAGCACTGCTGTACGACTGATTTGCTTTGAACTGAAGAGAGAGAGACATCATTCAAGATACCCTCAAAACAACTAGTGTGTGAGGGCTACGGGAGTCTCACTAAGCAACGCTTAGCTGTGGCTGGCATCCCTGGAGTCTGATGCCCAAGCAGCCATGGCTACTGCAGATTCCACAAACGTTCTGCTACAGGGGGCAGAATGGTGACGAGGGTGCCCTCCTTTGCTTGACTACAGAACAGGAAGGAGGAAACAGTGCATTCCATTTCCAAAAGACAATAAAAAGCATTCTTGTCCCAGTGTCCTGCCCAAAGAAACAGGAACTGTTATAAAACACTTACATAAGTGTTAGTGGGACAGAACAAAGCAGCTGAGCTGGTAGAGTGCATTCTCATCCTGCACCCGAGGCCAATAACCCCCCCCCCAAAGGAAAAGGGAGGCGTCAGAGTTGGTGTACTGCCAGGATTTCCTTTTAAGTCCCCCAAGGGAGGCAATTCCAAGGAAGCCGATAGGAAACAGCAAGAAGGCCTACTGGTTCAATCGATGCTACTGCCCAAGTGGCAGGATAGAGAGAGTCTGGTTGGCTATCTCCTAGATGAGTCAAGGCACAGAAATGTTGGAATGGGAGCAACCAGGTAGGTGTTTGTGTTTCCCCAAGCAACTGTCCTTTCCTCCTTCAAGGTGCTCACTACCACTCTTGAGAAGAGCGGGATCTCATAATTGAAAAGCCATCAAACAGGACAGAGGTTTGCCTGCTAGAGGAGGCCGTTGCCTTTCTCCCTTGAAATCAAACGAATTGCAGCAACAGGGGCACATACCAGGACAAATGGTGATTTCCTCTTCGGCACGATTCTCAGCTGCAATGTCTGGGCTTCTCCTGCTATCCAGGGGAGTCAAGGCAGAAATGCTATTGAGATACAAGCAGATAAAACCAGTGTCATAACAGGTGGGCTCCTGAAAGTTAGCTGCTATCTTGGGAGCTCCTCTTATCCCAGAAAATCACAGGACCAAATGCAGACAAGGCACAGCCTTGAAAGAGTCACCCTAAATAATGTGACAGAGGAGGAGCTCTTCTTCTCTAGAAAGACTTTCTAAAAGGAAAAGAAAGGGTCATTGTGTCAGACTAGAGAAGTAAGAATATCTGCGCAGAACTGCAAAACCTTCTTTGATGCTTTCTGTTCTCGGTCGCAGGAGTACTGCAGGTAACAGAGCAACCTCATTCTTAGTGAGGGACTCCTTGGCGGAGGAAGGAGGTGGAAACCTGCATGACACCGAACTCTTCTTTCTCCCGTCCTTTATTGCTAATTTTGTTTTTATTTTATCACTGCACACGGCTCTCTGAAGCAGCAGGGATCACACACACAACTCAAAGCTTCCCTACAGCAAAGTCCTGCCAACACAAACCGATCATCTCTCTCATGCAGCATTTAACTGTGCATGGCTTCCTCTTTCTTTTGACCTTCCAGTGCCACCATTTCCCCCTGCAAAGCACAGTCTCTCCACGTCACACAGGAAGCCACAGGCTGAGCTGCTGCAACATCAGCCCTGTCGTCCTCAGAGTTCTGTGTGGCTCGCTGATTGGTTTGATCAAGTATGCAAGGACTCACTTGAAAAACACGAATCCCTATACTGACAAAAGAGAAGATTTATTAAACTAAGCCATGAGCCACTGAGAGTAGGCAACAGCCACTGCAGATTTATGATAAATAACAAAATCCTGATGGGAAACCACAAGTGACTTCTCTCTCTCTCTCTTTCTCTCTCTCTAAATAAACCATCTCAAAGCATTTGTTATGAGTCCAAGCTGAGCACCGCTTACTCTGTGTAAACCATCAAGACTTACTTCAAAGGGCCTCACACTAAACAATTTGCTATGGCATTTATAAAATGGGCTAATCAATTTGAAGTCAAACCACATTGCTTGCTACACCGACTATCTCCTAGTAACAAAGCATATAATCATTTATTAAAATCTCAATCTAGCATACTTTGCACAAGACAGGAAAATCAACAAAGCCAAGCGGCCCACAGAAAACAGGGGAGGAAGGCGCCTTTGGCGAACACTGCTTCCAAAATTACTCCAACGGCATAAGAATCCAGTGGCATGGGAAGCCTGCTGACCAGGGTGTTTGTGCTTTGCCCAGCACAGGACTCTTCTGGCAAACTGCCTGTTGCCAGATGGTCACGCGTAACGTGCTCAAAGCTGAGAATACTGCGGCCACTGTCATCTTGATGCAGATGTGCTGCCTGATGAAATTCCATGTCACAGCACGTAATGGTCAATCTAAGACCGAGCAGCCTGATGAGGGTGACTGCCGGCTGTATCGTAAAGTTCCCGGGGCCACAGTTTGGCAGGCGTGCTGCACTTCATCAACCTTGCTTGCAGCTTGAAAAATGTACTCTTAATAGAACCAGAAGACTAATCCGATTACCCACATTCTGATGTGGAAATGAAAGAAGCCCAAAGGGTAGAGGGGCATTGCACCAGTGCCACTTGTTGCTTATATGAATGAGGTCCCTGGATGGAGCTGGGGGGCTTTTCCAAGTCACACTCTGGCTAACAAGTACTTTTAATATTAAAGCCATAGTGAGGAAAATCTGACTACTGGAAAAAAAAGGGTACACAACCAATGCTCCATCTAAGCTGTGGAGTCTTGTGAGCAAAAATTCTACTTTGTGACCAACTGGCATTAAAGTTGTAAGCTTTAATGGGGAGAGCTGGGGGGCTTTTCCAAGTCACACTCTGGCTAACAAGTACTTTTAATATTAAAGCCATAGTGAGGAAATCTGACTACTGGAAAAAAGGGTACACAACCAATGCTCCCTCTAAGCTGTGGAGTCTTGTGAGCAAAAATTCTACTTTATGAGCTCCTGGCATTAAAGTTGTGAGCGAGTGATTTGGCCGCTGCATACATTAGTTTGTTCTGGAGCCATCCTTCCTGAGCTGAGACAAAAATGTGTGAGCCGGAGACTAAAAAACTGTGAGCTAGCTCACACTAACTCAGCTTAGAGGGAACACTGGACACAACTGCTGCTTCCCCCCCCCCCATTTCCAAAACCTCCTGACAGCTGTAACAGCAAGAAAGGGATCCACTACTGAAGTTCTCATCCTGAGTACAAGGGTGAAATTGACATCATTTTAATTAGGCTTTGTACACACTAGTGCTTGCCCCACTGCAGGGTGGGAAGAGCTATAGCATTAGCCAGCCTGCTCCCTCACTCAGCATTCAGCCAAAACGCTGCTAGATCAATGAGAGAAGAGGATATCAGGCAGAGAAAAACCCGTGGCCCTGTGCCAATAGCATTTTAATTATAAAACCTGGGAAAACTAACCGAAGAAGCAAGTAACTTCTCACAGCTGGACTTGTGGCTGAACAGCAAATACGTAGGCCTTCTTGGCAAATTACTCCATGAATCTTCCCCTATCTGCAGCATCTCCAGCCGCTTCCTTCATTTCCTGATCTCTACTGCAAGCCATCCCAGCCAGCGTGTTTCATTC